CAGGGGAAGAAAGCAAGCACCGGGGATTAGCGCGGGTTCGCTGCCAGGCGGGGCCGAGATAGCATCGGCGCGGCTGCAGGCGAAGCTTCAGGAAGGGCTTCAGCAGGCCTCGGAGAAAGGCAGGCTTAGTGCCTCGCACCGAGGATTCTGAAACCATTAGAGGGGATTAACACCCAGGTTAATCTGCTTTGGCCGCTCAATTGTCACAAGCAGGGAACATTCCTGATTTGGAGAGACCTGGGTCTCAGTTTCCCCAGCAGTCCCGTGTTCAGAGGTAGAGGTAGAGAGAAGCCATTGGAAGATCCCAAAGTGCCAGATGAGTGGATTTGGGCAGCAGCCGAGCATGAAGCCTAGCTGGTCTTTGGTTCACTGCTACCCTTCTTTGTGGACCCCTAGGGAATACAACATACATACAGCCTGTGTCCTTTCTGTCCCAGGCAAAAGGAAGGAATTCCTTGCCCCTTTATGGACCCACACCATGGTGAGATGCCAGTCTTCCTAGTTGGGGTTCCTCAGGAAGGTGCACATACTTCCCATTGCTCAGGGTCAGGTACAGGCTGCAATCTGGAAAGATGCTGAGACAAGGAGAAACCATCGATTGCAGCCCCCCCCCCAATTTTCCCCTTGTGATTACTTTCCAAGGAAGAAATGAAACACATTTGCTGACTGACTCTGACAAGACTGCCTCACCCCTTTATCTTCAGTCCCTTCTCTTTAGGTGGAGTAGGGTGAGGCTTTGCTGGCTACCGATTCCTGATCTCAGGTCCTTGGTGGTGTTCTCATCTGATCAATGAGACTGGCCCATAGGAGGCAGGGCCAGGCCAGGATAAGCATGTAGCAGGTCCAGCAGTGCAGCCTGTATGCATTGATGCAGCTCCCTCCTGCGGCTACTGACAGGGCCCAGAGCAGAGCACTCAGAGATATGTTTGCACCCGGTCTCCTCCATGGAAATACATCGTGCCTTTGATAAACCCACAGTTGCAACAAGTGGCTGGACTGGGGCTAGCTAGGTATGGAGGATGTGGAGGCCCCCACAAGAAATTAGTGGAGCCTCTTTGTACCTAACCTATGCCCCAACCGGAACTGCACCACTAAGATCCAGGGGGAAGGCAACGATATGGTGTCTTTCCTTCCTTCATTTGGTAAGGACCAATGATTTCCCATCCTAGTCTTTGTAGAGTGACATAGGGGAAGAGCAACGTTGTTATCTGTGTTCGGATATGAGTTGAGGGGAAGACAAACAGGTGAGAGGGTATTTCTGGAAAGAGGATTAGGCCCCTGACCTATACACATAGGTTACACAGGATCTCAAGGGCAGTTAGAATCACCGGGCAAAGATGGAGAGCCAGGAAGCTTGGTTCAGAAGAAAGGAATCATAGGGGATGGAATCCTGGGACTTGCGGTGGAGAGTCCCTTCAAACTGAGGGGTTAGGAGTTGTCAGGGGGCGACAACACACTCCGCAGAGTGAACTGTGGCGGCTGAGCTGGCGAGCGTACGGGGCCGTGCAAGCGAGCGCGGGAAAGTCCAAGGACCAGGAGTACCCACTGGGTTAGACGGGCAGCCCATGCCCACACCGAAGCAGCAGGATACTAGAGTCAGATCAACGGGTGCAATTCCTGCGGCCGCCGGCAGAGTGCATGCACGGCTCCCGGCTACGGGTGCGGCCTCGTGATGTCATCAGCAAGCGCCGCGTGGCATAGCGCTGGCTTGCCGCGGCTCTGGATAAAGGGTGTCTGTTTTACTCCCTTGTTCCCGAGGCCTTGGAGAGCTAACTATTCCTCCAGAAGTGAACTCTGGGAAGCCTCGCTCGTGCACAGGCTTGTCTGTGCCCTCTATGGCCGCATGTCGAGGCTGGCACAACACCTCTCTTGTATTCTGTTCTGTCCGTCCTGGTCAGCTTTTAGGTCATGGTCGCAGGAGTTGTATATTTTTCCTATTGGAGTCCCGGGGGAGCCGGTGACTTGAGGCGCTGCCGTGGTGGAGAGGACCTGGCGCGCAGCCAGCCTGTGTAGGTGTGTGCGGGCCTTTGCGCAGGCTGGCCAGAGAGTCTGGGCTACTCCTTTCTAGTCAGTGTCTGAAAACCGCCAGGGAGCGCTGGGAGGCTGCGCTGCTCTGGTATTGAGGCTAATGAGGTAGGCATTTCAGCAGACCTGGGGACCAAAGGAGTGAGGTGGCTTGTCCCCTGGGGTCACTAAGGCAATGTCTTTGAAATATAGGTTGTTTAGGTAGGAACTTCCAGATTAAGCGTCGCTAGTGGAGGACAAAGTGTGGGTGGATAGAAGTGACTGGTCGCAACTGAGAGGACAAATATGATGAGCGTGTTAAAGGCCATACTGGGGACTCAGGGCTTGCCATACCAGAAGGGGAATGCTCTTAGGTATTTGCCAGGAGAGAGGGTGAGGAGGGAAGTTTTTCAGGGCCACACTCTTCAATGCTTTCTCCATTTCCTTTTAGGCTAACCTTCCTCTGTGTACACATCTCCATCCCAAGTCTTAGGTGTATCCAGGACCTGGTGGTCCCAGATCTTGAGGAAGCTGAGAGTTCCTCAGACTCCTTTTAATTCTGTGCCTTGTACCTATGAATTTATAAGTCCAGGAGTCCGTGAAACAGGAAATTAAAAGTCAGCAAGTAAAAATATTGAAAACTTAAGACTGTTTTCTGAGTGCTGGGAGGGATACAACATGAAAGTAGAATTCTTTTATTTGCTTAAAACGAGACAGTCCCTGGCTGGGGGCATGGCTCAGGTAGATTGTATGCAGGCTTAACCTTTTTGGGTCTTTGGGTTCCATCCTTACTTTTAAAAAAGCAGCAGGACCCCCCTCCCCATGTGGCTTTTTGTTGCTATTTGTCACCTGCACAGGCACATGGAAAATCCCTGGGGGTACCTACACAGCTGTAAGAGAAGCCTCACAGAGTTCAGAGTGGGGTAGAGGACATCTGCTCCGGGTTCTCTGTCCATCTGTGGGGTTGGCTAAGACCTGTCCTCACTCTGCAGCAATTGTTCCTCCTGGCACAATTCTGAGGATTGTGTGCCTCTGCTGTACAAATTTCATCACCTCCTGGGAGTCTTTCCAACATAGGCTATGCTGGGTTTTTTTTTTTTTTTTTTCTTCGATGGGGTTTCTCTCTGTAGCTTTGTAGACCAGGCTGGCCTTGAACTCAGAAATCTGCCTGCCTCTGCCAGGATCAACGGCTTGCACCACCACTGCCTGCCTGTGGGGTTTTAAGAAGAGGTAGAGCCCCAGTCTGGACGCTGGGTTTGTTCTGCATACCATCTTGACCAAAGACCTACAGATCTCTCTGCTTCTGCTGCTACCTGGATAGGTAGTTCCAGCCTAGAGGCCTGATCTGTGATTGGTCTCTGCAGCCTTCCTGGTTGGATGCACTTGGATCGTAGACCCCTACCTTCCTCTTCCAAATGGTTAACTTCCCAACTTCTCAGAGGTTTTGAATAGGTTCCTACAGACACCCCTTCCTCCTCTCCACTCAACCACTTCTATAAGACTTCCCATATGATGGAGCCTATAGTGTGGGTCCACCAGAGCAGCTGTATTTAACCCTTGGAGAAATTAGACCCAGTCTGCTCACCATTTCTGACTGGGTTGAGACAGTCAAGGGCCATCATGTATCCTGCTTGAAGCCCAGTGTAGCCAGGGGCCCTTCCTATGAAGGGCACGGGCCTCTAGTAAGTACAGTGAGTGGTGACATCACTGTGACAGTAAGTGGGCAAAGGTACTCCTCTTGGGCAGCAGCTGGGCTTTTCCTGTCTTAGGGGCATCAAGGACCTGGGGGAGACTGTAAGCTACTTACTACAACCCTTGTGAGATCGCCAGCTGCCAAGTTCCCTCCCTACAGGTATACTCATTTCTCAGACTAGGGACATGAGGTTGGATGACTTGCCCAAGGTTATGCAGAAAGTGGGGGAGACCCCAAGGAAGCCAGTACCACTTTACTACCACAGCCAAGGTGGAGTTGAAAATGAATGGCCTGGGTCTCAGGGACAGGAAGCCTGTGTGTGGGGTCCTAGTTGTGGTGGTAGAGGAAGCAGGGGCAGCCCCTGGTGGAGGCAGAGGGAGAAGGCTGTTGCTGTGGTGGGGGCTTTCTCTGTTGAGGACCGGGATATCTGTGAGCACTGAGATAACAGTCTGCCCAAGCCTTCCACTACCACATGCTCCGCCTAGCTTCCATAGAATCTGCCAGTGTCCCCCAAATGCCCAGGCCTACAGGGAAGCTCCTTGTCAAAAGTGTTTGTCCAGGGATGGAGAAGGTTTGTAACCACCATCTCCCACCTCCAGCTTTCAGGCAGGCAGAAGTTGCCTCTGTCCCGAATAGCTGGGAGTACCTGTTGGCCATGTCCTGCCCATTGAGTTCCTCCTCTTGATCCAGGGCCACAGTGACCTCAGGCTCAGCTAGTCTCCAGTCTTGAACTGGTTTTCATCTGCCTGGGCTGTGAGGCGCCTCCAGCCAGGGAACACCCCAATTGATGTTAGGGGCAGGGATTGAGGCACCAAGATATTCCCTCTTCCACTGGGATAAGCCCTCCCTATCACTTCTGCTGCTTGTAATCTTAAGGGACACAGGGTCAGCATTTCCATGACTCAGCCCCAAGCACTTCCTAGTTTCCTCTCCCTGCAAAATAAGTTCAGATTAAAAAAACAATGGGTTGGCCATGCCACAGGTTAACAGACAAGGAAGTCCTATAAACCTGGGAGCATTACCTCGTGGCAGCCCTCTATCCTGCCCACTTCTGCCTGCCAGTCCACGGAGGACCTTGTGGACACACCCTTCAGTGGACAGCAGGACAGTCACTTGCCCTATAAGGAAAGCAGTAGCACAAATCCCTTTTGGTTCCAAGATGAGCCTCATAAAGGTGCTATCACTAGGGGTTGCTGGGCTTTCCTATCACTCTGTCTACTGCAGTGTCTTCAAGTGGAGGGTAGACTGGCCCCTGAGAAGGCTGTCACCAATGCCCCCAGCTACAAAGGGATGGACAGGAGAGTGCGACAGGATCCGGTTTATTCTCCTTGGCAGGGTGGTCCTGAGAGTGGCAGGTGCCACCCTGTCCCGGGCAGAGGGAGGGCCCGAGGGCCATTTAAGGCCAATGGCGGGAGAAGCAGGGGGGCATATAGCCCCTGGAATGCGGTGAAGCCAGGCCGAGGCCCGGAGGCAGCTGTGGTAGGCCAGGGGAGGGCGCCCCTGCCATCGGGGGTGGAAGGCACCGGACTGTGACCTGACCATGGCTCCAAGGCCATGGACCAGGGCACACAGGCACCCCAGGAAGTGGGGCACAGGGTCACATGACACAGAACATGAAACAAGCACATGGCTCACAAGCAAGCAATGGAGAAGTGAGCACATATTCACAAGCCATAGAGACACCCAGCCATGGCCAGGCTGGACACAGACACAATAGTAGTGTCACATACAGACCACATGACAGACACAGAACTATGGAACACATGGTAGTCACCAAGAACAGACCAGGCCACAGAACTTGAGGGACAAGGGGAAGGGCCTTTTGGCACTACTGCACTGGAATCATAAGAGAAGATGGCGGGGGTCTGGTCTGGAGGAGCTGGGACACCCCGCCGCACCCTCTAGGGTTAGTCTGTCTTCCAAACTTTATTGAGCAGCTTCACCACTTCATCGTAGATGATGAACACGATGGCCACATCCAGGCAGACTCGGCCCAGTCGGGGAATAGTGCCCTTGTAGAATCTGGGTAGAGCAGAGGGTCTGAGGTAAGCAAGTGAAGGAGGAAAAGCAGGCAAATAGCACCCTGAAAGGGCATTCTCCAGACACTGGGAGGAAGGAAGAATGATAGCCTAGGGCATGAGAGAAGGCCAGACAGGGCCTGGAATGGGGACAAGAACACTGCTCTATCCTACTCACGCCTTGGGTCCCTCATTCTTCAGGATCTTCAAGCCACAGTCCAGTGTGTTCTTGTATTTGTGTGCTTCCAGGCCCTGCGGGACACCAGAGTGCTTAGCTGCTATCCTATCTGGGGTTCTTGTCCCCACCTTTTCAGCCCCCCATTCCTACCTGCATCCTGGTCTTGATCACATCCAGAGGTGTGTTCCCAAAGACACTAGCTGCACCGGCAATGGCTCCAAAGACTCCAGTGACCAATGGGTTCATGGGCTTGTTGGGGTTCTCGCCTAGATGTGAGTACAGTTGCAGTCAGAATACTGGGCTAAGTCAGAGGGGAGCTTTGAAGGCTAGGAAGAACCTGGGGCAGGGCCCACAAAAACGTCCCTCCCTGTCCAGTCCAAAGGAACAAGTTAGCCTTCAGGGTTTGAAATGGGTCTCTGGACCACAGGTGTACCTCGGTACCAGTTGCGTAGTGAGGTCATAACGAAGAATCGGATGGCTTGGTTTGAGCCCTGCTTCAGTACAGTAGCTGTGAGGCCTTGGTATGTCCCCTTTAGCCCTGGGGGCAGACAGATACGAGTCAAGCTGGGGCCTTCTAGGTCCCACCTGTGGGCAATGGGGGGGCCCACTAAAGTAAGTTTCGATTCTCCAGGGCTTACCTTGTTCCCTAACAATCTCCCTAACCCCGTGGAAAAATCCTCGGTACTTGGGATTGGGGGAAGTTTGGTCATGGATGAACTTCACCTGAAAAGAAGGAAGCAAAGTTGCTGACTCCTGGCCACATCTGAACTTTAACTAGCAGACCCAGGGTACACCAAGGTCAGGCCAAGGCTGGGGACCCCTAGCTCTTCTGCATGAAATGCTTCCCTAGGCTGTTCTGGAGTCACTACACACAAACCCCAAGACCTCAGAAGATTCCTCAGGTTGAAGGGCCACCAGCATTGTTTGCTATTTTCTACACAGTGAGTTATGTTAGGTTTTCTATCTATAAAAGCAGCTTTAAAGACTGCTCAGCTGGGCCTGGTGGTGCTCACCTTCAATCCCAGCACTCAGGAGTCAGAGGCAGGTGGATCTCTGTGTTCAAGGCCAGCCTGATCTACAAAGTGAGTTGCAGGACAGCCAGGGCAGTTACACAGAGAAGCCCTGTCTCGAAAAACTAACAAAACAAGACTTTGCCTGTGTTTTTGTTATGAGTGGGCAGCCTCCACAGGAACTCCATCTCTGCCACTCCTCCTAAGATGCTCACCATGAAACTGGTGTGTATGTATGGGACCCTTCCCACCCTGACAGTTTCCCTAGGGTCCTTAAAGCCTGGGATGCCCCATGAGCCTCACAGACACCCTGGGTAACCCCCCCCCCAATTCCTCACCTTGATAGTCTCCATGGGGCACACGACCACCACTGCTTCCGCCACGCCGGCGCCCAGACCACACAACAGCCCTCTCGTGCTGTCGAGCCGACCCTGGGCATCCCGCATGTGGTTGCTGAGGAACTCAAACATCCCGAACCTAAAGAAGGTGGCATGTGAGAGGGCCGCTGAGGCCACTCCCTCGGGGGTCGCTCGGGCAGAGCGGAGACTCACCTGACAGCCTC